TCCATGCGCGACTTCGGACTCTTAGTGACTGTTCCTAATTAAAAACACAATCGGATGGGCTACAAACTTGTACTAGTAAAATATATTGTGCCAATCAGAAAACATAGTAATTTTTTTAAAGAATAAAGCAATGGTATTTCAACTTTGATCATTTTAATATATACAGTGTAATATTTATTAGTTTTCTTGCATGGAAATTACATTAAGTAAATTTAATGTACCAATGATATTCATAATGTCACACTATTCTGAAATCCAACCGACAGCCTGCTGCACTCTCTTATATTGCCCAAATCCAAATTAGTGAATGTTCACAGGACTAGAAACCAGCGAACGAGCGAACGAAGACAACCCTGCGACTTTCTTTTTTTGGAAGAAAAAGTGCTCTTGCAATTTTTTATTTTTAGTATATTTACAACTTTTATTCATAATATTTGGCGAGACAAACTTATCACCACCATTTTTAATCATATTTTTTTCGTTGTATTTTTTTACAATAAAATTTATAGACAATTTATCTTGACAACTTTTCTATAGTAACCCTTGGAACCAAATTTTCTACAATGATTCCGCGGCCATGGTATCCGATCCGATAGGTTTGTCCCATTTTCTCACTCTTTTTTTTTCTTTCATCATTATTTTTATTTTTTATAATAACCTATACCCACTTTTCTTCTATATACTATGAACAACATTTTTAGGTTGAGAAGTTTCTCCAGAATAAATTATGTAAAAAGATGTGTCAGATAAGTTGTGTATAACTTTTTTGAGACGTTGAACAACAAAAGGTTATGTGTATAAGTTACTTTATTTGTTAAATTTATTTATTATACAAAAGTGTAGGTAGAAAATTTATGTTGAGAAATTGTTATGATAACTTTGTATGCTGACAATTATGAATTTGGGTTGCAAAGGTCACGTAGAAAAGAGTTGTCATGATAAGTTGTCTATAAAATTACATAAAAGACTATATTAAAAAGGTTATGATAAGAAGTTGCAGTGATAAGTTTTGTCCTACAAAATGTTATGCACAAAAGTCATGAATATAACTTTGTATCTTTCCAAAATAGAAAGTTGTAGATTTTTTTTTTCAAAAAAGGAAAGTCGTTGAGGATACCTGATGGTTCGCTGATTTTTAATCTAGCATATGTTCGTTGATTAGTGAAATCCTATGCCCTATACATTGATAGATGGAAATTAGGCATAGACTCCCATGACTGTGAAATGCCACACATTGATGGATTATTTGTAAAATGGCACATCACACAAGCAAAGGGGCCACTAACTAATGCATATCTCACCATTGTCACATATAAATTGATTGAACAGTCTACATCACAGAACTTAATTTCAAGATTCAGTAAAGATGCGTTAGCATTTGCAGTGGATATTACACTCGAATGAGTAACGTTGCTTGCTGATATTAAAAGGGAACACAAATTAAAGCTTACTATAATGTTCACAGTATATTTATCTACACTACTTATATATGCCCCCACCCCCCATTTTCAGTTTTCATTTATTCCCGTATGTAGTCAAGCTTGGCAAGCTATACTTCTTAGGGATCACTTCTATAACAAAGAAACAATACGAGAAAAAATAGGTTGAGGTCTTGTCGACCTTTTTCTAAATTGGAAACGGTGTGTGTTCAAATTGGCTATTGATTATACAGACACATGATTGGGCTATAGCTAGTTATGTTTCTGAATTTGGGCCACGGTATAGTATAGTACACTGAACCATTTTTGTACATCAATTAAATCATCGTTGCTTGAGATTTAGAGATATTTATTAGATCCTTGACTGCCGTAGCACAGAAAGATCAATGGGTTTACGGTTTATTAGTTATGTCTCTTAGCAGTAGCAGTACGTGCGAGTAAAAGCATACAGATAGTACCACAGACTGCTTGATAGTTATGCTATTGCTGCCTAAGTGCCGACCGAGCGCGCTTGATGCAATACCGTAGTCTTCAAAAACCTGTACCACACATGCGCAGTACATGTGTAGTACCTACGTATTTGCTGGATCTCTACATACTGTCCATCAAATGATATTCATCAATTACCCAATATGTTAATCGATCAATGAGTGCAGATCATCAGTATTAACTGCTACTCCAATTTGCCAAATATGTTTCAACAACCCGATCGAACCAAAAAATGCAGCATGCATGTATCAAAATTAGATTCAGCATCCTTGCGTATATGCATCAAATATATATTATCCAGACCTTATATATGTGTGTGTTAATATATGACTATTGTAACATCAATATTATTGTTATCACCTGTAGTCTCCAGAAGCCGAAATACTTGATAATAATCTTTCTGTTGTTTTTCCTTTTTATTATAGCAAACAAAAGGGGAGTTGGTAGCATGAATACACATTCTAATCAACAGTAATTTCACTGCACTACTGATCGAGTTTATGCAAATTTGCAACATATTTGTGTTACCAATTTGCGTATATGATATGTATCTATAACAGACTTTCTTTTTCACTTCCTCTGTTCTTTTTTACATGTCGTATTAGCTTTGTCCTAAGTCAAACATTTCTATCTTTGGCCATCAATTTTAAGAAATCTATATGTAGTTTCACAACATGTAAATTATATATTATGAAAGTATTTATCATCGTGAATCTAAAAACAAATCTTATGTTGTTAACATGTATAGATTTTCTTGAAATTGATGACCAACGTTACAAATGTTTGACTTAGGATAAAGCTAATACATACGATATGTTAAAAGAATGGATTAGACTATTAGAGGGAGTATCACTTACGTTTTTTTTAGAAACAGTATCACTTATCAGTTATATATGCATGCATGCCAACTGCTCTCAAAGAGAAGAGAAGAGAAGAGAGTATATAACTTGGATGACTGAAACTAGCAAGTCATTCTGACAGAAAGATTTATACAGAGATATACTGAGAGAGTAACTTTGATGACTGAAACTAGCAAGTCATTCTGACAGAAAGATTTATACAGACATATACTGTGTTATAGCAGTGTGTCCAATCCCCTTTCTAATTAATACTACTCCAGCTCCAAACTGAATCAGCACACAAACTATCTACATCAACGGAGGACTGAATGTGAACCGATCGATGAATGGAAAACGTATAGCATCTAGAATCTTTTAGCGGAAAAAGGGTATAGTTCTTCATAAGTTCCGAGTTACTTTTCTTGTAGTTCGTTTCCAAAGAGGAGGGAACATGTCAGCATCAAATTGCCATTTGGACTATATATGTTCCTAACCAGCAAATATTCATTGTCCAAGAACACTAGCAAAATTGGTAAACTTGCTATGCTAGCATAGAAAGCACAGGACAGGGAAAAAGAACACAAATGTTACTACAAAAGGCTAATAATTTGACAGATTTTTTTTTTTGGAAAGGAATGAACTAGAAACCCTACAAGCTACATACTCTCACTACTTTTTCCCTCTCTTTAATTTGAAGCTCCAAGACATGCATATAAATTGTTTTTTCCACTGTTTTTTTCCTTCCACCTCGATATTTTTTCCCCTGTGATGCTAGTAAGCTAGTTCATATGCAAGTATGCATGTATCGGTGAGAAAATGGCTGCGCTACATACTATACTAGCATCAAAATGCAGCTCGAAGAAGTTGCTACAAGACGTACACGCAGGTAAGAACAAGTGCAGTAGCCATATTTTTATGTCTGCAGCAGCAAGAAACGAGCTAGATGAGACCGCCGGGCACAAAAGATTCTGCATCACACGAGCATGATAGAAGATTCTGCATCACACAAGCATGATAACTTGAGTGCACTGCCGTTGGAATCCTATGATCATGTAACAAAAAAGAAAGGTACACATACTCCTTGTATACGGAGAGAAAGAGAGAGAGAGAGAGAGAGAGAGAGCGCGCCATAGTAGTAGCTAGCATAGCAAGGAGCACAGAATTCAAAGATCAGATCATGCACTCACACTCGCGCATGAAAAAGCGAGCAAAGACGATAAAGCTGCAGCGCATCACCAAAAGTGAGACACACATCCATGCACTAAAAGTGATGGAGGAGTAACTAGCACACAGCATGCAGTAGTAGTAGCAGTGTGGCACTGGCACCACTACTCAGAGGAGCATATCTATGTACCATCATGAGAAGTGCCAGATGCTTAAATTTCTCATAACTCACAAAGCCATCATAATTCGTACAAGCCAAGTTTGAACAAAACCCCCCAGAAAGGAGAATTAATTCCACTCTACAATTGGAAGAAAGAAAGAAAGAAGAAAACTTGATGCATGAACCCGGCCTTGACAACTCTAATGCATGAGAACTCAAAAACAGTTCTCTAATTCAGCTGCAAAAGGTGTAGAAAGTACTAGTATTACTTGTACATCTAGAGACTTCTTCCCAAATCCATGGTAGAGAGAGAGAGAGAGAGAGAGAGAGAGAGAGAGAGTAATAACCAATTAAACACACTGATTTAAAATGCCGAGATGAGAGAGAGAGATAGAGAGGCTCATGACTTGCACCATGATCTCTCATGGGCCACCATAGCTATTGTATCCCCACACACCACATGCCCTATGTACAAAACACCAAAGGAGAAGCTAGCCAAGAAGTAGCAAATCAAGTAGTGTCATGGCAGCACTGCACTTACACTTCTTGGCTTCGTCTTTGCTCTCTCTAGCTCCCCATATGGTCTCATGATCTCCTTCTCCTAAATCCATGCACGCTAGCTGTTGACGGCCTTGATCATCGCTCGACGGCGAAGACCATAGATCCGATGAAGAAGTTGAGACTCGGCGAAGAAATCCTCTTGAAATATTGGATCATTGTTTGATTTGTCTAATTTTCTGCCCTATGAGGTGGTGAGATGATCTAGCTCTCTTCATTCTTCCACAGTGCTCTCTCTCTCATCTCAGCTTTCCCCACAAATTACATGTTATTTTAGTCAAGAAAAAATTAACCAGAAAATTAAGGTAAAAAAAACAAAGTTAACGAGGCCAGCAGGACAGCCACAGGCGGCTAGAAGAGCGTGGCAATGGAGGATCCACAGTTGGCGAGGTCTGGCCACGCCGCGGCAGCGCCGCCAATGCCGCCGTTGCCCCAGTACATGAACGAGGAGGGGACGATTGTTGGCGCCGTGGAGGTGGAGCTAACCACGGGGTTCATGGACGCGGCCGCGGCGGCCATGAGCGCGTCGGACGCGATGACGTTGGCGTCGACGTTGGACGACGACGGCGTCGGCAGCTCCCAGCTGGCGCTCTGCTGGTCTCCGGGCGCCAGCTTCTGCTGGTGAACCCCGGCGCCGGCGACCTCCGCCTTGACGTGCAGCTCCTCCAGCCCCGGCACGAGGGAGCTGGACAGCAGCGGCGCGTAGAAGCTGTCCATGATCCCACCCGCGCCAGCAGCCCCGGCGGCGTCCTGCATCCACGGCTTGAGCTGGATCTGCGCGCCGGCGCCTCCGTAGCCGAGGCCTAGCAGGTGGTCCACCTGCGTCTGCTGCTGCTGCTGCATCTCGTAGGCGGTCGCCTCCGAGGAGACCACCGACTGCATGGCCGCCTGGAAGAGGCCGAGGTGGTCACCGCCAGAGCCGGCGGTCCCGAGGAGGAACGACGCGAGCGAGGCGCCCCCGGGCAGGCCCAGCGCCGAGGTCAGCGACGGCAGGGACCCCGGCGGCGGCGGGAGGGACAGCGTCGACGCCGCCGAGGATGACGTGACGGCCGCCGCGGCGGCGGCTGCAGCGGTGGAGGCGGAGGAGGAGGACCCGTTCCTCCCGCCGGCCCCGCCGCTGCTCCTGGAGCGCTTGTTCTTGCGGCAGCCCCCGCCGACGGGGACGTTGCGGAGCGTGCCCCCGCGCGTCCAGTAGCGCTTGCACGCCTTGCAGAAGTGCCGCGGCTGCGACAGCGAGTAGTTGTTGTAGTAGCAGAACTTGGTGTTGGCCGAGTCGCAGCGCGGGCACCGCAGCGCCTCGGCGCGCGGGTCGGCGACTGGCGCCCCCGCGGCGCCTGCCCCGACCCCGCTCCTGGCGGCCCCACCGGCGGGCACCCCCGCCGCCGGCTGCTGCACAGCCGTCGCACCCCCCGCGCCAGCCATCTGTATCTCTCTCTACTAGTCTGCCGCCCGCCTCACAGCACAGGTCGACGTGCGCAGCTGAGCTGAAATCGGCCGCGCCGGTCGAGCTAGCTAGCTAGCCTCCGGTGATCGATCGATCCGCGCGTGGAGAGCGCGAGCGAGAGAGAGAGAGAGAGAGGAAAGGAGAGGAGGGAGATGCGTGGGTGGTGGAATGGAGGAATGGAGCAAGTGAGGCGCTAGGAGGATCGGAGCGGAGAGGAAGGGTGGGTGGGGTTTTCAGGGGGAAGGTTCGCTGACAAGAGCTACAAAACAAAGCGGGCGTGCAGCAGGAGTATTATTGAGCGCTGATGGCGATACTATGCACTAGAAATACCGGCCTCCTCCGTCCGCTGCTCAGCGAAGCACAACAGCAACCGCTTCGCTGCTCCCAAGCGCCACGAAACTGAGGATCGAGCGGCGAGAGAGAAGGGGCCGCACGACGTGTCTAACCTAGCTAGTTTTATAGCCGCCGCCGACGAAGACGTGACCAACAACAGACCAAGGCTGCACGGGTATATATGTATATATTTTGCTCAGAAGCGGATGAGCGATAAGGTTCAGTTAGGCTTGTGGTATACGTATACGCGCGAGCGGTGGTGTGTTTATATATATGCATGTATATGTGTTATGTATATGTCAAAGGAATGTCGGGGGTGGTTATTAGTGTATGTATGTGTGACGGGTGTGGTGTCCCGTGTGTTTCTTATTTAACTTTTAAGTACACGTGTTTCGGGTGTATTTGACTGGAGCACTAGCTGGATTTAGGAGTAAGCAAGGAGCTTTGCTTTTGTTTGTTATATAAGTGTGTGTTGGGTGGGGGCTGGGAGTGCGTGGAAATAATGCACTATGGTGTGTCTTCTGTTTTTTTTTCTTCACAAAACACATGGAATCTCACATATACCTAGACAACCGTATGAACACATACAATATATGTTACCCCTATGAGCATCTTTGATGGACTTGAAAGTTAGTTCTTGAGATTGGCCATGGGATCACCACCAACAACAACAACAACAGCAACAACAACAAAGTCTTTAAGTCCCAAACAAGTTGGGGTAGGCTAGACTTGAAACCCAGCAGAAGCAATCAAGGTTCAGGCATGTGAATAGCTGTTTTCCAAATACTCCTATCTAAGGCTAAGTCTTTAAGTATATTCCATCCTTTCAAGTCTTATTTTATTGCCTCTACCCAAGTCAACTTCGGTCTTCCTCTGCCTCTCTTCACGTTACTATCCTGGCTTAGGATTCCACTACACATCGGTGTCTCTGGAGGTCTCCGTTGGACATGTCCAAACCATCTCAACCGGTGTTGGACAAGCTTTTCTTCAATTGGTGCTACCCCTAATCTATCACGTATATCATCGTTCCGAACTCGATCCCTTCTTGTATGACCACAAATCCAACGCAACATATGCATTTCCGCGACACTTATCTGTTGAACATGTCGTCTTTTCCTAGGCCAACATCCTGCACCATACAACATAGCAGGTCTAATCGTCGTCCTATAAAACTTGCCTTTTAGCTTCTGTGGTACCCTTTTGTATGCTTTAATGTTGACGCGTGCATCGTCTATAAGTAGAAAAAAAGTTAGTCATAATTATATACGAGCATCCATGCTAAGTCCCAGAGACTTTAAACCATGTAGTTAGGTTCTACCATACAGTATAATTAACTCAGTTCCCTATACAAGTCCAAAATAGTGCACAATTAGAGAGACAATGTCATTGTTGTGTATTAGTTTTTGTACCCAAAATTGGTAAAACTATTGATACTATATTGTCTTCACTCCACCAAAATAAGAGTGGTAGGTCATTTTCATTTCTCATCCATTATGAGAGAGTTTATTTTAATGATGGCATAATAACAATCCTTGTGTTATTTCACATTAATTTGAATCATGTCATTTTATATGAGGATGTCTTTGTGAATTATTATTAGTTTGCCCCCAAATTTAACATGATTGATTGATGATTATGCACCCCATAGAACTTTAAATAATTCTTTTGTGCTATATTTTTATATGACACAAATATAGTATTATATATTCCAAATACTAAATCATATTGTAATAGAACAATAGAAGGAATCTGGCAAAAGAGAGGGAGCTACTAAGGTCCTGCTTGGTTGGGTTTCAAAACTTGCCCAGCCAAAATTAAGGCATCCTATAAATTTTGGCAATCAATTTGTTTACTGTCGAAAAATTGGCACACCAATGTTTATGGCCAAAATCATAGTAAAGTCACTAGAAACTTCTTTAATCTCAAAGAGGGAAAAGTGCTTGTTGTCATGTCATGGCACTCAACCAAATGCTTGTCTAAATTGTTTGCCCTGACTTTCGGAAGGCTTGATCTTGGCAAGTCTAAGTTTTGGCTTCATGTGGTTTTGGTTGGACAATTTTTAGAAACCAAGCAAGCAAGCTCTAACCCTTATCACCTTTAAATATAATACACCACTCATCCTTCAGGTGCTGAAATCTCGAAAGATTTCAGACACTAACCTAAGAACACCAGCAATAGCAGAGTTGCTATTGGAAGGGGTAGGGTTACAAGGTTTTGCGATCATGGATTTGAGGTGACCGCGGGCACTACTGGTGAAAGAGGTGGACAACGGGCAAGACAACAACACGGGGCACATTGCCCCTAGGCACGGGTGGTGGAGGACGATAATTTGGGCGGTAACCGGAGCGGCCTTGGTGGTGGGAACAATGTCGAGGATGGCAGTAAGGTAGTAGGATGTGCGCACTTGTGGAAGAAAGTTGGGTCGACAAAAGTAGAGGAAGAAGAAGAAAAGTACACGTGTTTGTACTGTAGGATCCAAAATCAACGGCCCGGATTTGTCTCCTGCTTGCTTGAAACAAGAAGCAAAAGAAGAAAACAAATATGTGTGACCCGGACAACAAGCTAAGTTTGACTTGCATGTCGTTTTGTTTTGTGGTAAAAAAAACTGTCAGTTAAAACTTAAAACCGACTCTCGAGAGAGTTCTATAAGACTGAGGATCAGATATAGTTTACCATATCATGCAGTGATTGAACTAGTAGGGACATGGAGAATCAGCTCAATACCTATATGGCAGTACCATCTAGCAACGCATCGAATAATCGGTGATATTGAGGCATTGATCGAATCGAGCGCGTGGTCAAAAAGCAAAGGGAAAGGAATCGATGCCTGTCGCTGATTAGTTACCGAACCGAAGAAGGAAGCACAGTCCTCACCGACCACCACAAACTTGTTTACACACTGCATATATATATACTATTTCACCGCGTGTCAGGCTGGTCAATGCGTGCATGCATGGCTCGATCCACCGCTGTCCTTGGCGCATACACTTCGTACAATTGCCGAACCAACCAACACATACATCTCCTTGACTCGAAAGGGCAGCTGCCAATCCTCTCAGATGTTACACACGCAACATAGGCATTATTATTGTCCTGGTGTGTGCAGTGCCTGCATGCACGACCCACAATAATCCGGTAATATATAGGACCACTGCTCACATATATGTATAGGGGCGGAGCCATGAATTTGATATAGGGAGCCATTGTCAACAGCAAAAAAAAGAAAAAAAGAGAGAGAATTGTATACACACGTAGAGGCTGTTTGGTTACCGGCCTTGGTTTGCCTCGCCTAGGCTTCGGCGGCCACAAGAAAGCTGGCGGCCGTTTTGTTCGTAATTAATCTGCGGCACGCCACACGATCTTCAGTTCATTTCCAGCACAATTCTCGCCACAGTTGTGGCGTTGTTTTCCTACGCCACAGAGTGTGGTGCCGCCACAGCAGGGTGTGGCGCTGTGTGGCCGGCAGCCAAACAGGCTCAAAAGCCTCACTTTAGCGAGAAGATTACAACACTTGTAGCATTCTATTACTCAAACATATTTATGTTTTACACTAAAGGAAAATAAGACCAGTTCACTTAAATATCTTCATTAGTATAATAGCTAGAGGATATTAAAGGAAAATTACAATCATAGGGGTGTTTGCCCCCTTCTCTCACCGGCTCTGTGCAGTGTATATATATACTCTCATACGACACACAGAGACTGAGATATTGATAGTATAATATATTTTCATAATAAGTTTATTTGGAGATACAAATATTAATATTATTTTCTATACATTAATTTTGTCAAACTTAAAAGAGACTGACTCATCGAGCGAGCTGTCCACTTTTTTTGGGATGGACGGAGTACATATTCCATAAGTTTTTGTAATCCTATCCAGGCGATGTACATTTTTCACCCTCAAACTTGCGCCGTAGTCTGACTTTATTAAACTTAAACTACTAAACCGGATAACAAACGCCCTCCAATTATCAAACCGAAGAAATTTAATCCTTGTTCTAGTTTTAAAGGTGGGTTTCTATTTTTAAAAAATAATAAAATTTTGATTTAGTATCTAAAAATTCATAAATGATTTATTTTACCAGGAAATATGAAACTAGTATCAATTTTTTTTCTAAAAAAAATTCTCTACTTGTTTATGATCTATATATAGGTATTTAGAATTGGTTTATTTTTGTTGCTTTTTTTCTTATAGTTGCACCCATTTTTTTTATCTAAAACAAGTAAGATCCAAATAACTCTAAATATAGCACCAACAAACAGATGGCATTTTTAGAAGAAAACTAGAACTAGTTTCATATTTTCCTAATTTAGAATAGATTAATTATGAATTTTTAGATATCAAACTAGATTTTATTATTATTTACGAATAAAAACCGCTTTTGAAGCCAGCTAGAGGTCCAAATTTGTTTGATTTTTTGCAGTTAGTGGGTGTGTGTTACCCGGTTTCATAAAGGTTGAAAATCAAACTAAGCTATAAGTTAAAGATTAAATACTTTACCCGATTTCAAAGTGAATGCATATTTACGATATATATGTTACTATAACTCATGGTGATATATACCTTAATGTTATAGTAAATTACTTAGAAGAGGTTATAGTAATCTCGTAAATTAGTACAATTGTTATGGTAACATAGTAA